CTAGATGCAGCTGAATCGTTTGATACAGTCAAGACACACTTAAGGCACAGTTTTCCCGCATCTTGGAACACTCAGACACAGTTTTCCAGGACGTTGGAACAGCCCAGACACAAAACAGGAAAACCAAATTAGGTCGTGATTTGGTCGTGTGGAACAGAAACACAGTGTCAACGCTTGTATCTCCGAAAAACGCATCGACACGTCCGAGTACCTCGTAGGACGGGAGGTGCCCAAGCCCGTATTCCGTCATACTAAAAATTGTACCTGCCCTTTCCGGCATTGGCCGGCTCCGGATCATTACTCTTTGGTCGTTCACCAGTTGTTCCGTAATTCTTGCCGCCGCTGGGAAAGAACTACGACATAAATTTGTTCGGTTCTCGATCACTGGCAGAGGTTTTGTAGGAAGCAAGAAAATCTCTTGTAGCATTCTGGACCTAGCCCCCTGAGGATATGAGATCAAGACCTCGGGGACAGACGTGTGCGAAAAACCCTGTTACTTGTAACGTGTTTGCATTTCAAACACACCTCGAAAATCCGGGCTAATTTTAATCTCACCAGGACGAATATGGTAACCTATCCGCCACTCCTACGGGACCCATCCCCTTTCGTTTCATCCCTTATGAGTACGTTCCTGCCACTGTGTTCTATTTTAGGCAACGTCGAGATCGGAAATGATGAGGATGGCGGATAAACTGAAGAAGCTGGAGGAGGAAATGAAGAAGGTGGTAGAGGAGAAGGAGGAGGAAATGAAGAAGGTGGTAGAGGAGAAGGAGGAGGAAATGAAGAAGGTGGTAGAGGAGAAGGAGCAGGTTATGAAGAAGGTGGTAGAGGAGAAGGAGGAGGAAATGAAGAAGGTGGTAGAGGAGAAGGAGGCGGAGATGAAGAAGGTAGTAGAGGAGAAGGAGGCGGAGTTGAAGAAGTTGGCGGAGCAACTAGCCAGCCGGTCTCGGATGCCGATTGAGACGCCGGGTGCCCTTCCTACAGAGCCTACTGAGGTGATAGTCGATAGTCAGGCGGCGTTCAATGACGTGTATATTCAGCGACCAGGATGTACCTCGCCTGCCCAGTTTGTAGCAATTATGCAAGGGGCCGCTGATGACGAGGCTAGTACCTCAGTAGGAGCTCTAACGCAATCAAGCGGCTGGGGCAAGTCGCGGTTATTCGCAGAGGTTTGCAGGCAATTCATGTGTATATATATAAGTATGGGTGAGAGCCTCAATAACTATCCCCGTAGGACCAAGAACTTCGCCCCGTTGGAAAGAATCCTCAACTGCCGAGAAGGGACTGCTAGTGATGTGGTGTGCCATTTAATGATGTGTCTGGCTGGTTATCTGACCGAGGCCTGCTCAGATGACCGCATAATCGGCCTTAGCTCCGACAGTTGGTTTCAGTACCAACTGGACCACTGGTCGCCGTCCTACCCGGTTGAAGAGCCCCTGCCGCCCTTGTCAATGGCCTCGGCTAGGAACACACTAAGCCGGGCGGTTGCGGGGTTCAAAACCCGTTTCTCGGTGCCTTACGTTTTAGTTCTATGCGATGAAGCTGCCGCGCTGTTGCAAGATGCCAATGTAGCCGAAATTCAGAAGTTCCGTCTCTTCAGACGAGCTTTCACAGTCGCGGGAATTACAGCCTGCTTTGCTAGCACGCAATCGAAGGTGCAGAACTTCGCCCCCTCGCTCCACCGAGATGACTCTCTCCGGCGGTACACTAGGGCTCATGTGGATGAACCGTGGATGCCGGCGCCCATCATTGCTGTAAGCGCGCATGATGTGTGTGCCGATACAGTCGCCTGGTCGCTGCCTCTTACAGACCTTCATTCCTCTCATACGCTGTCCCGGTTTGGCAGACCACTGTGGATGGCATTCTCCAAGCACTGCACACAGAGCTTATCCTCTAATACTGTTCTGTGTGCGGTGGCAAACAGCAAGCTAAACTTGAAGGTCGGTGCGCTGGGGGGAATTGCTGCAGTCATGTGTGTCGCCGCCATTAAGCCGACCCCGAGCGTCGAGATGGCCGACCAGCTCGTTCACAGTCACATGGCCACACTGATCCACGTTTCCAAGAACCGTGAGTTGCTTTATACGATGTATCCTTCGGAGCCGTACTTGGCGGAGGCGTCTTGCCGATACTTGCGTAAGAACATGGCGGTTGCTTTGCGGCAGCTGGTTAGGGCTGTCGGCCAACATGCGGTTGATACTGGACTCGTTGGCGAGGCCGTGGCGAGGCTGTGCTTAGTGATGTTGGGATACACGCCACTCGAAAAATCCCTGATCTCAATAAACAGCCTCTGGACTAGGATCGATGACAGTACGACTGAGAACGGCGCTGGGACTAGGGCCCTTCTCAACTTTAACCACTTCGCTCGGTTCAGAGGAAGGCTTACACAGAAGGCGTTGTATGGCGCGTTCGTAAGACGTGCCGCGCTATTCCCATGGAAGCTGAACCAGCGCGCATACGACTTGGTGCTTCCTGTTGCTGTGCTGGAATCAGAAGCCGATTTATTGGATCCGGGGCGAATGGGTGCTGTGTTTATTCAAGTGAAGAATCAGTCGAGAGGTTTGCAGGAGTCGGGGCTTTTCAAGGAGATGGCGGAGGAAGGCGCGATGGCTGGCTTGTCGGAGGATAGATGCTGGTACTGGGTGCTACAACGAGTGGTGCAGACCGGCTCCAAGTATCGAAGCGTCCGCTTCCCAAACCGTGCGTCGTTCTCCTTCACGCAGTTGCTTCGCGGCTTCGATGGTGAATGCCAAGGGCTGCTCAATGCGCTACTCCTGGGCAATACAAAGTTATTGGACGCCGTTGACCACGCTGAGAAACCCACGGCCCAACTCCAAGCTGAGAAATTGTTCTACGAACAGGTCAGTTGGCTGGCTGGGGCGCAAAGTGACGACGGAGAATCTCCGAGAAACCGTGCGCAAGCCGAAATGCCGTCAAAGCGGGCTCGACGCAATTAGGCATCACACACACAAGTTGTCATGTCGTTCATCCTCGAACGCTCTAGCGCTACGCGCGTCGCAAAAGCAGCCACTCAAGCCAACAGAGAGCCTCTTCTTTTTTTCCCTCTCCTTTTTTTCCCTCCCCTTTCACGTTTATTTGACCCAACGTAAAACGTAGTTCATCTCCATAAACGAGCCCGTGCTCTCCAGTAAGGGATGACACTCTAGTAGGGGCCCGTGACGGACGGGCTGCCAGGTTCGTCCGTCATCACCCCCTTCCCCAGTTTGCCTCAGTCCAATAACATTTTGACATTGCCATATCGTGCTCGAAGAAGAGCGCCGTGAATACTTTACGGTTGATCGATTGTGCAACCGACGACTCCGAAGTGGGCCCGCTGTCCCCACAACGAGGCCAGTCACCACTTCCAGACGAACCTCTGGGAACTTCGTTACAGGTATGAACATCGTCGCACAACGAGGCCATTCCCCGGTTGATGGTGAATCCGAGTTGTATGGAGCTCGACTGGGAGTTAGGCTCGACTGGGATTTAGGTACGATGAAGCAAGACTGGAGCCAAGACTAAATGTTTGTGGGGACGATAACTCAGGCAGGTAAGCACG